CTGAAGTAGGAAGTTAATGGAATGTACCTGAACTTCATTTAATTGAGCCATTCTTGACCCTTGTTGGCAAAGTTGATGAGTGGCTTAGTGCAACCATGATAAGTCTAAGCCTCGCCTCCTCCCCATCAGGGTCTGTTTCTCTGAAAGTGTGCACAAAGGTATGCTAAAAATTCTGACCGAAAACTTCTCTTGCATAATGCTCAACTGATAGTGCATCACCTCAGAAGCTGCTTTCTAGACTGTTCACCAACGTTTCAGAATGTTCAGCTGACCACAGAATTGGTGCGCCGTGCAGCTTGTATGGGTGTAGACTGGGTCACCGTCCATGGGCGCACACCTTCCCAACATTCCAATGATCCTGCGCGATGGCACGACGTGGCTCAAATTATTGCCGCTCGGGTGCCTCACCATACCCATACTGCCGCTCCTCTTCCAATATTCCTTAACGGTGATGTCAAGACCTTGGATGATGCATTCCGAGCTTATCAAATTTCTGGTTGTCAGGGTAAGCTTTTCTTTCTGCGACCTCAATACTCCTTATCATGCAATTTATCAAAAGTTTTGGACTGTTCCAACTAATCTTAAGCTTGGAAATTGTGACAGTACCAAGCAGTACCGTTGCATTATGAGTGTTTTCATCAAGGCACAAAGAGATGCCCTATGTACACTGATCAGATTCAAATCTATCAAAAATGTTACTTTACAAAATGATTGTTCTGTGTGTGTGCTGAGTTAGCAACGATGTTGTAACAAACTTCGTCGGAGGTACTGATTAGAACTTGTTGCAAATTTTACTAAAGGAAGAAGAATGGTCCGTAGACTTGCACACCAATTCATTAGCATCGCCAGTGCACACTCCTGAATGGTCTCACCATCGTAAGGGCCGCCTGCAACCTTGTCAATGCCAGCTATTTCTCATAGTGTGTAGCGTCTGTTAAGAATATCTATGGTTTCGGCGTCACAGTAACCAACATCCATTTTGATGTTAACTAGCACTACTTTGTTCTACCTGAAATTGGAGGCGTCAGATTGACTAACACACTGTGAAGGCGATAATAACTTCTGGTTTGAGTCGCCTCTAAGCACGCGAAATCAATCGATCTGGTATATTTACGTGCATTTTCATACAGGTGTTATGGCGGCTCGCGGTCTTTTGCAGGATCCAGCGCTATTCGAACAAAATCGGCCACAAGACCCCTGGAACCTATACAGAGAGTGGCTTGACCTGTGCCAAGAATATTCAGCTTCCCTGCCGTTCAGTTCCATACATCGGCATGCCTACTGGATACTAGAGAAGCACATTGGCAAGAAGGGACGTGAGATGCTACACAAAATCGACAATATGGCCAACCTATGTGACTTCTCACCAGCCAGTGTCTATACCCAAAACACACCTATTTAGCAATAACTTATATGATAATTAATCGATTTGATCAGCGGAATGTGAACCTGGTAAACAATTAGATTGTGCAGTGATGTGAACTCGCAAGGAATTAAAGAGACAACACTACGAAGATGTACCCATTCGTAATAAAATATCTGAACAAACTCACCGTTGTTACAAGTCCAAGATTAGTAAATAAGGACAAATTTTACTATTTATAGGTAGCATTAATTGAGGTTAATGTTAAGTGACGACAAGTGCTCAAGCTCAGTCATAGAAGTTAACAAGATTACCGTCTTTGTCAACAGATTTCAGAATACCCGATTTACGTAGTCGATTCCACTCCAAATCTGGATCATAGGTCCTATAGAGGCCGCATTATGCTAAAGAAAAGTCTCACTCATAAAATCTTCGGGCCGTGACAATTTTTCTCTGGTACATGTAATAGGTGACAATAGCGGTGAGAGTGGACGAAATAGCAAAAGCAAAGAATATGCCTTTTACAGCATTGTTTCGGTAATGATATCGCAGCTTTGGCATGTTTGGGGGACTATCGTACATCTCGAGGACAAATCACGTAGGCTAAATGTAAACGAAAGGATTGAGGAAGTGACCTTTCAAAACGAGACCAACCAGATCCTTAGTAAAACTTGCTTCCAGATAATTACAGTCCTAATGCCATAGAATACCTACGCGATCGTTTCAGTTTGTAAATATTAATAAAAATATGTGTGATTCGTAAAATATGGCAAAATACTATGATTAGAGTGATGACAGAAAGAAAATGTCAGAATG